ACTGAAGCTTTATAAAAGAAAATACAGTAGTGCCTCGCTAGACGATGTTAATTCGTTCCACTGAAATCGCTGTCTTGTGAAAACATCATCTGGTGAAAAGCATTTCCCCATTGGAATGCACTTATTTATTTATTTATTTATTTATTTATTTATTTATTTATTTATTTATTTATTTAACTTATATGCCGCCCACACTACCCGAGGGTCTTTGGGCGGCTTACAGCATTTATTTATTATATGTCTATAAAATAAAATAAACCACTGTTCTTTCCCTTCCCTTTTCATTAAATGTTGGCTTGGAATGCAACCATTACATTATGATTGCAAACATTTTAGAATTATATATAATAGGCTTGTTAATGGCACACGGGTGGAAAAACCTGCTTAGACCTGAATCCCCTCATTGTTGCCCATACACTGTTCTTTCCCTTACTGTACTACAAAAACATCTGAGAAGCAAAGGCAAATATCGCAAGTGTTTTATCTACAGAGAGAACGAAGGCACTTTATTCCACACATACACATGCACTGTTATCAAGGTCTTTGATAAGAAAAGTACTGTTCCCTGCATAGCTATGCATCTGCATTAGCATTGAATCTCCTCAAGGCCACTTTGTGTTCACAACTCCAGCTCTTCGGAGGAGGGCAACAAGGATGATCAGGTGACTGGAAACCAAGCCCTATGAGGAAAGTCTGAAAGAACTGGGCATGGTTGGCCTTGAGAAAAGAAAACTGAAGGGAGATGGGATAACATTTTTCACATTTTTGAAAGGTACTCATACAGAGGGGCAGGATCTGTTCTCAAGCATCCCCAGAGTGCAGGACACGTAATAATGGGCTCAAGCTACAGGAAGCCAGATTTACACTGAAAACTAGGAAAAACATCTTAACTGTTAGAGCAGTACAACAATGGAACCAATTACTTCGGGAGGTGGTGAGTGCTCCAGTGCTAGAGGCATTCAAGAGAAAATTGGACAACCATCTGTCAGAGCTGCTTTGATTTGGATTCCTGCCTTGAGCAGGGGGTTGGACTTAGTGACCTTATCAACTTCCATGATTCTATGAAATATCCATGGCCTTAAGAGAGGAGTGGGCAGTGTGGCCAGGAGCCACAGGCAGTCCCATGATGTGAGGTCCCCGAGTGTGGTCCCCAACCTAAGCATACTTATTTATTTGCTGGGAACACCAAGACAACTGACAAAAAGGTGAGGCTTTTTATAAGCAGCATAACTTAACACTGTGAATAATTTTGTTTTGCTAGATATAATTTGCAGTACAACCTTCTCCATTTTTGTTTAAGATTATTTGACCATCGAGGTTCTGTCCAGTCATACTTGCTGTGGCTCTACAAGGGCTCTGGCAAGTATTTTTTTTCCTCGTCTGCCACCAGCTCCTACTAGCTCAATGGGCTGTTAAGGCTCAATGGGACTGATAGTGGAATTTGAGGTTCATCTCTCCTGAAATGTAACAGGCTATGCAAAGCCACTGGAATATTAGTTTCAGGGTGGATTAAAATCAACGATTTAAAAAAGAATTAATCATGATTTATTTATTTTTCCAAATATTTTTCAGATACAAATAGTAAAAAAAAAAATCTGTTTTTAAAATTTAAAATAGCGATTTAAATTGATCTTATTTAAATCAAATCCACCCTGATTAGTTCCATAATAATATTTTTCTATCAGCGTATCTATAGAATTATCAACAGATGAAGGGTGCTTCGGTGTCCAATGAAATAATCTGCTATAGATTACCTCCATAGATAAATTATATAGACCTAAATCCAGTTAGAAGTTCCAACTACAACAGACCCGGGGAACCTGGTAGCTCAGCATTTTAATACAAACATCACTGGTTCAATGGGTCTACTCTAATCTAGAGTAACAATGAATTTAGGTCATAATATGTAAGTCCTTCAAAGTAAAAGAATAAACCAACCATTTAAAAAAAAACACCTTGCTGTGTTTCAAAGCATATTTATTTCTCAGCAACGAAAGCTTTACTGTCGAAGCCAAGGAGAGCTCCCACAGTTAGCTCACGCAGCGTGTCAACTCGATCTGGTCTGAGATGAATGCGATACTGACCCTCACAAGAAAAGTCTTTAGGGCAAAGCTAATTATTGAAGAAATGTGGGAAATGTTGAAAATACAGACCAAAAAAAGGGAGGGAGGGAGAAAGAAAAGAAAAAAAGCATATAATAGGGGTGCCATAAATTTAGATCTCGAGTTTCTCTGTATAGGCTTATTCGCCAGGTAAGACAAAAATCCAGCATTTCTGGGAGTGTTTTTTTTTAAAATTGGCTTCCCAATCCAACTCCCCAAAAAACTCTCACATAATTAAAATTTTATCCAAGAATGGCAGTAGTGTGCACACATGAAAAACCACGTTTCGATGTGTTTCAATCCAGTTGCTGGGTAGAGACAAACAAAGGTTAGGAGTAGGCTGACCCTTTAACAGGAACTCAAAGAGTCACTATAGCAACAGCAGAAATAATAGGAGGAAGTCTGTATTGATCTCCCCTTTCCGTGTTCTATCTGCAGCTTCTCACAGGCTATTTGGACCCAGGCTGCCTGTTGCCCAATTGCCAAAGCACGCTCCCATCACCAAAAGGTGCAGGACCTCCAAGGGAAGCAGTTAGGTGACAAATGTGTACAGAAGTGTGACAATATAGAGGGGCTACACATGCACACACACCCACGTCCACACGAAGAAAACATTATGGTTAGTACCAGTTCATTTCCACTTGAATGACACCCAGTTGCCCTGCAACAGATCCCCAGATAATGTTCTCAGAGCCTATTCATGGATAGTGTTCTTGCCCTGCAAAGGGTAGTATCCTGCAGGGCTGAGAGCAACGATGCTGGCAAAGATTCACCACTCCCCATAACTTGAATGCTAGCTCTTGTGTGCAACAGAGACAAGATCTCTAAAAACACTGGAAAGAGGGCTGAGACAGAATTCAACTAGCTAGCTTCTGGGAACCGCCATTTTAGAATTTGGTTTTTAGTCTTGTTGAAAAGGGAACACTGATACGTTCCAGTCTCATGGTGAGGTATTTTGAAAAGGTAGGATTGTAGATTAGGATGTCTATGTAGCTTGTCAGGTTCAAAGAATCTTCCAGAACATCCTACAAAGTAGGCTGTAACTCTTTCACTAGCTGTCTCTCACTATCCCATCACCCCTCCTAAACAGTTAAAATGATTCACTACCTCTCTCACTCTCTGCCTCTGAGTTCTTTTAACCCTCAAGATGTTGAAATCTCTTTCCTGAGAGTGCTCTAAACCCCTCCTCTCTGGGCCATGTGCACAGGCCTTGAGACATGGTCTCCTATCCAGTTCAAGATAGGCATCTCTACCCAATGTTTTCTAATGAAACCTAGTAACTTTTGTTTCCATTTGACCTTCTGTCTGGTTCATTGCTCCAGATAACAGTTCAAAGGAACACCATTGCCATTTACTCTGCTTAACTAAGAGATCTCCTAAGAGAATTTCCCATAGACGTAAGAATCTGAATTGAAATTTGCAACCATCGGAAGGTCTGAAGACATGCAAGAACTCTGATGAAGCTGGGTCTTCGCAATGCCTGGATGAGAGGTAATATGGGAGCGCCAGTGCATGGTATGCTTAACTCCACCATCAAAGAAGGTGGAATATAAATAATGAGAATGATAAAAATATTAAGAACACGAGGACTGTAACCCTAAGATTCCTGAAACCATGGCTCATTTGTGGGGTTGACAGTCCTCTGCTCTCTGGGTATTTTGACAAACTACTCATATAAATCCCAGCCCACATGTCCAGTGATCAGAGATTATGGAAGGTGGAGCTCAAAGAGCATCAGGTCGCTTGGCACATTCTAAACATTCAAGAAGATGTGCATGTGTGCACATGTATAGGAAGTCGAAAAATATATTTTCCCCTAAGCCAAGGTCATGGATTCTTCCTTGCCAAAACAGTTTTTCGGCAACAGAAAGGATACATTTTAAATGTCTGAATCCCTGCTACCAATCAGAACCCAACTATGTGCTCCGAGTGCAAAATAACACTCCCCAGAAAGGCTCATGCAGAGCAGCAAAGCAAAGACTAAGTAGACTGTTTTATCTGGCACGCTCACTATCTCAAATCATAGATTCTCACATATTCTTTACAGGCGAATGTTTATATTCTCCCAAGCCTTCAACAGATAACTAAGTCATCTCATACTCTGCAAAGCCCCTATGCACACCAATAGCACTAAAAATCATCATCATCCCCAATCTAATACGTCAACCAGAAAGCAGTATTTAATAGTATATTTCCCCACAGATAGCAACTGTGTCTACTTGCTTTGGAGAGCGAAAAGTTTTAAGGGACTATATGGTCCAATTGCACGCCTGAACATCAATTCACTACAAAAACAGCTAATTCAAATGGCTGTACATTACTCTGATGTAAGAATACAATAATGTATGCTCCTATATAGATATAACAGGTGCATATACAGGTAGCAGGTACGTACATATCACTTCAAGATGAAGTCTAATGTTGCACAAGTGGAAAGCAAGCTCACTGAACCAGTTCTCCTTTCCCCCTGTACCCATCCCAAGTACTCTTATAGAAGGCTTGGGAGATCCTATAGAACACGAGGAACTGTGACTTCCTGAGCTACAGCAACAGAGGGCAATGGCCAAAATCATGAACCATGATTCCCCTGCTGGTTTCAGGCCCTCCTCACCCCACCTGTGTTTATAATATCGTTCCCAGTCTTCAACAGGCTCCTTTGCCTCCAGTGCCCTGCAGCGACTTTGGGAACAGGGGCAGAATGCTACAAGGTGTAAGGGTGGGGGTACGTAAGATCTGTTGTTACAAGTGCTTTTTATTTGCACACTATATTTCACCCTTGGAGTTCAACTAATTGATACAGCAAAACCATCAAAATGGACAGTATTATAGCCTCCTCACTATAAGGACTTTAAAAATCCAAATATACCTTCTGCTAAACAGAAAACGGCAAAAAAGGTGTGATCTTCATTCCAGTTATTTAATTTTCAAATATTTACACTAGAGAGGAAAAGGGGCTGATATTCCATTTATGACACTTACTTGAGAAAGAAGAGTATTTCCAATTATCATCCATTATTGAGAGGAAGAAGCTCAAGAAAATGGGAACAGATTTATAACAGTATGTGGTATTTAAGAGCTCTGGGAACTCTGTTAATAACAAGCCGTCCATCATAACTTAACGAGGCAAATAGCCACGGGTCGGCTGAAGACCATTCCACTGCATAGACACTATCTTCATGTTCCTCGTAGGTTGCTATTATGCTGTCTTGAAGTGGCTCTTTAATCCTAGAGATTTAAAAGAAAAGGGGGGAAAAAGCAGGGAAGCAAGTGATTGAAGCAACTCTTCATTCATAAACCATTGAAATGTCAAGTTCTCCCTCAAAGATGTCGGTCTGGTCTGCTGAGTGAGAGAGTCGAGAAAGTGGAAATGAGGCTATACACATTAACACTTGAGGAATTTACAAAATATATCACAAACATACTCCAAGGTCTGTCCCTGAAGACTCAGGTGGATTCCTGAAGATATCCTGAAGGGGAAATTGTCTGAATAGGCCTTCTAGCAATCAGGATCACATCTATAGGCTTGATGTTCATACCAAAAATAAGCATCAAAGAGGAACAACAACTGGCATATCTCAAAACCACCTTATGATGAAAACCCTCCCTAAAATTAAGAACCAATTGGTATATTTATTAAAGCAGCTCCAAGCAACTGAAACCATTTTGTGAAAAAGCCAATGTAGAGGTGATTATAAACGCTTGTCCCAGCTCCTGCCAACCTAGCAGTTCGAAAGCATGTAAATGCGAATAAATAGGTACCACTAAGGTGGGAAGGTAACAGTGTTCCGTGTCTAGTCGCGCTGGCCACATGACCACGGAAACTGTCTATGGACAAATGCTGGCTCTACGGCTTGGAGATGGGGAATGAGCACTGCGCCCTAGAGTCAGACACAATTGGACTAAATGTCAAAGGGAACCTTTACCTTTACTATAAAACACCTACACAGACATTGTGGCCACCTGGTGAGTGTGAATCAGTAGTGGAAGAGGTAAAGACCACCTCTTTCCCATTAAGGGCCAAAAGAGAAACTAGAGATGGCCAAGAGGTTCATATGTCCTCCCCATGGCATAACATTGGTTTCCTGTTACCAATGGACAATATGCTAATTAGTGGATGTAGACATTTTCATCATGGGGTTCAGAAAAATAGGAAGAAGTTGCTGTTAGGGCAGAACGTTAAATACACTCCCATGTAGTCACAAGTGTCATTATCTTGAGAATGGGATAGCAGTGTTTCAAATTCCTTTTGTTTACACAGATGTAAATAGAGGTGGCCAATTGAAACAAAAGTGCCGCAATAGATGAAACATATGGATCTTCTGCACAAAGCATCCAATTATATGCTGTACACTAACAATCTGCTATAAGCTGCTTCTTTATACTCACTGTTCTTAGCTTTAAATATTGTATTTTAATGATGTAAACCATCGTTGTGCACTCATTGCTTTTCAGCTTTAAATATTGCCTTTCAATGTTGTAAGCCACCTTGGGTCCTTTTCAAGGAGAAAAGCAAGGTAAAAGCATTTTAAATAAATAAAATAAATAAATACAAACAATCTAAGTCAGGTGCTCATTACTAAAACCTTAACGAAATGTCTCTTTTTTTGATCCTGGCAAGTGTGAACCAAAGTGTCAGATTACTACTGGGGAATTACTACTGTTTGGAATCCTGACACAGCTATGAAGCTGTCTGGCGAATCTTCAGCCACTCCCCACTTTTCAACTTTGCAACCCTAAGCTTATTGATTATTTAAAAAGAAAGAAAGCATGAAAATCATCTTCTGCTCCATGGAAGAAGGACTGGATAAGAGCATAGTAAATAAAGTCAGCGGGCAGGGGGGAGGAATATCCCATCTCTTGTGTCTGCAGATGCCACAGGATAGGAATGGGGTGGCAAGACACAACAAAGATCCAAAGCGGGGTGATTATTAATCACCAAGCTGTTGAAGGATAGGATATGTTTGGGTGGGCACCTGGGCACACGTGGTATGCCAGGAACATGACAAGAAAAGCTACTGGTACTAGTGGTTCTAGAAGATGCTGCCATGTTGAATGTGTTGCAGAGTGAGAAGTGATCTGGACCTCAGTGATGGATAACAGAATGCTGAAATGTCAATAGAAAATATGTGTGTAGTGACACCGAATGTGAACAGCAACTGTGGTTTTAAATGGCCAGGTTTTTCTCCATGAACTCAGAAGGAGCTTCCATATTTCACAAGCTGAGTATCCAGATTCCTTGTGGAGTGAAACCCGGCCATCCCCAATTTGCAGCATCAAGGGTTCTTTTAACTCTAGAGGTGCGAAAAGCCATGCATTAAAAGGAAAGGGGGAAAAAAGATGTGTAAACCTCTTATCTACATCTTTATTCACTTTTGACTAGTTTTTGTCTATTCATTCATCAGCTTGTGGAACCTTACAGGGCTCTTCATGTACCATGCGTCATACTCTTCTCACCAGCCCCTTCCTGCCAGGTTTTATCTTCCTTGCCGAAGCTATTACTCCAGTCAACTTACTGCAAGAAAGATACGACCAGAAAGATTCTCAAGCAGTTGAGAATACCCATCAATAATATTTTTTTTAAAAAAACTAATCTGGTAACAGAAAATATAGCATAGTTACCTTTCGGTGTAAACATAACTGATTGTGTTGTCTCTCCCCCAACATTGGAGAGATACACCTAATCTTGTGACACCCCCTACCTGGAAAAACTTGCTTCTTGCCAAGATTTTTTTAAACTAAAAAGCACTCTCAAACCCTCTACTGGCCAAATACATATTAAATTAAATATTAAGAGCTATAAGCCCCATTCACCCAAAACATGGCGACCTCAGCCCAAATACTCTCTAGAGCAGTGGTTCCTACCTGTGGACCCCCAGATGTTCTTGGCCTAAAACTCCCAGAAACCTTTACCACTAGCTGTGCTGGCTAGGATTTCTCGGAGTTGTAGTCCAAGAATATCTGGAATCACAAGGTTGGGAACTATTGCTCTAGAACGGACAGAAGGAGATTTTCTGGGCCATAAAAAAACAAACAAATGAGCTATTTGGAAGACAGTAATGGGGTTGCTTGGGGGCTGTGGGTCCCTATTTCGGCTTCTTTAGCTCCTTTTTCCACCACAGATTTAGGAAAACAAGGCAGGAATGTTGGCAACATTCAAGAGTGTAAAGAAGAAAAGGAAAAAGGACAAAAGTGGTATTTTAAAAACTAACAGATTTTAAACGTCTCAGTGTGACATTTCATGGATCAAAATCCACTTCTTTGGACACATGGCAATGGTCATACTATGTCTCCTGTATTGATACATATCCCCATGGGGGAGGTCATGAACAGGTGAGGTACAGATTTGAATCAGGCTTGTTTTGCTAAACAAGTGTTGAGCATCTTGTGGTCCTTCAGATGTTGCTGGTCATCTAGAGGACCAAAATGTTCCTACCTCCTCACAGAACTAGATTCAACCTAATTATAGCTCAGTTTTTGAGATAACAAGTCATTACAGTAAACCGAGAACAAGTTTTGGCAGTAGCAAGTGAACATGGTAAATGGAGACAAGAAAGTTAATGCTTCAGATCTCTTTGTAAATATGCCAGACGAGGAGAAGGATGTGTGTCAGCTTTGAGCTTTCTGCAAGTAACTCGTCGCTTCAGTTGGCCTGAACAATACCAATGACAAAATGTAGAATTTGAAAATGGGGCTCGCTTCCCTGCTGCTCCTGTATCCATGAGACCATTTGAAAAGCACTTTTGAACAAAACCAGGTTCCAAACCCGAGGTCGTCTTTGTACTGCTGTAGGGCTTTATGAGATGCAATGACTGTTCCTTCCACCAGAAGAGCAAATGGCAAATGGAAAGATATAATTAAAATATTTTCCTGTTCTTGATCGCTGACCTAAAACAATAACACCTCTCTGAGGTTTCTAAGGTTTGACCTCAAGGAGCATCAAATCATATAGTGGTACAGCAATGCATAATAGCCCAAAAGGTAGGCGTGCATGCCGCCAGGGGGAATTCTGTGAGCTGTATTCCAAAAACACAATCTGCACACCTGCAGGGGGAAACGCAGGTAGGTGTAAGAGAAAGCAGTTATGATTATTTGTACCATTTTTCTAAAGGCAACATCTATTTAGCTTCCCAGATGCTCTTTACAGCTTTTTTTTTTTGCCTTAAACTGACACACCTGGCTTGCATGAAAAGTTGGTCAGGTCCCCAGACGGCCGTGTGACTCGTGCAATGCTCACCCACTTATCTGAGACTCCATTATCCTGAAGATTTCAGACATCTCTGAATAAGCAGGGGAGCAATGCGCGGCGCACGCTGCCGTCAAGGGACGTGGCCGACTTTCAGCTAACTGGGGGTTTGAGTTAACTAGGAGTTCAATAAATAAGCATGAACAAGTTGCTGGCTCCCACCACGGCCTTCCTGCCAGAGGTTGTGTGGAACAGGATACGCTCATGATTTGTGTAATAATTAAACTTAAGCCATGGGGGAAAGGTATGCTAAAGAACCATGCATTGCATTAACAGAGAAACCACTATCGTGCATTCCTGCTCCCTCTTGCTATTTTTGGTTCCCTTAAACTGTACTGTCTGCCGCTGTCTCTCCCTTTGGGGATTAAGCTAAACTGGGAGCATGCCAAATGGAGGAGCTTGTTCTCCCACCCCTTTTCAAAAGTGCAGACTATACAAGCTTGTACTTCATGAAGAGGCAAAGGGCTGCTTTTCCGATAAATGTCGCCTCTGCTGCAGCAGCTCACCGATGAGGGAGCCGAATGACAACCTGTAATTTTCTCTAAGCAACTCTGAGCACAGGCAAGGACTCCTAACAGAAATTAAACATGAGACGAGACAGTACCTGGCACAGGTGGGCTTCTTTTCCCTTCTGGCTGACAGAGAAATTTCTTATTTTCTCACTGACACAATTCAGATGGCCAAGAAGAGATATTTCCATAGTCTGAAATAAAATATGCACTATATCCTCCCTTTTCTCAAATGCAGTGTTTAGAAAAGGTTGCTTTTCAGAATTACACATCCCAGAATCCCCAGTTGGCAGGGCCACATTCTGGGAGTTGTAGTCTACCTATTCCATGCTCTGCCCATATGCGATGGTGGGAGGGAAGAGACAATGCGAGACCCAAGATTTCATATATACAACAAGCAGTCATTGAGATGGTCTTACATTTATCTCAGCCAATGTAAGAATTGCTACATAAAGAATTAATGACTTTATCAT